GTTTGGTTTTAGAAATTTAAAAATCGATTAAATTGGTTTGATTTTTATTTTAATCAATAACCGATCCAAATCGAACCATGAACACCCCTATGTGCAATGATATAAATACAACTAGTAACTGTCAATTATACAAGTTCTTTTCAGTAATACAAATACTAATGCGATATTTCAATGATACAAATCCTTGTCTATGATTCAAAATACAAATTATATATTTATAACACCCCGAAATGCTAACCAAGAGTCGCTTGTCGATACACCATTGCTTAATCACTGCAGTATGTTTTACTCTCATTTTGGAAACTTGAAATGTTGTGATATTTGCAAACTTGCTTAACATAAATTGTGATCGTAAGTTAATGGATTGTATTGGGGTATTTGCGTAATATTCTAATTAGAATTATGTATAACTTGAAAGGGAGGTGAGGGTTATACATATAGGTATATATGTATACATTTTGGCAGCCAACCTTTTTTAGGGCAGCCACCTTTTGGAGATAGTTGTGCATGTGATAAACATCACTCTTGAGACTATATTTTGACACCTCATCTAGTGAAATTCGTTTCCCTTGAAGTCTAAGAACCTTAGAACATTATCCAACCATTTGTTCTTCAAAATCACAAGAGAAAAATCTTGGTCCTTTTGGCTGGAATTCGAGATACACCCCTCTCTTTGGTGAGTAGTCGAAATCTGTTTTTGAGCTGAGTAGTGTTTATTACTTTTAGTAATATCTCGTTCTCTAGAACTCCTTTTTTCGGTGAATAAATATGATTTGGAAAGATAATTCATATACCTACAACTCTCATATATGTTCATGTAAAACTCTAATTTAGCTGTTATGGATTCGAAATATGGGACGCAACATAGGACAAATTCTGTCCAGATTTCGGATTTAGAAATCCTGTATGAACAACTGTTAGTGTATCGATGATATATTTTTTTACAAATTATATTTTGTGGTGATGCTTGATTGTTTGCAACCTTAAGAGATGTACCTACATCTTTCATGAAGGATATACAGTCCAGTTTTGCCGTTTTCCTTTTCAAATCTAAGTTGCATGAGGTACTAGGCTGGCTAGAATTACTGTTTTGGGAGCATAGTCGTATTTGTACAGGCTAAGCTTACTTGTGATGATAATCCTGTTTTACATTAACATTATTGAGCTACTAGGGATTAAAGAAGTTATTTAATTTAATTTTAAGGTTGTATATACTCGTGAACAATTTGAGGACCTTGATACGTTGGTTGGTCTACGGTTTGAACTCTTGAAGTTGTGTTGGACTGTTTCTAAGCTAAACACTGAGGTTTGTGTATAAACTTGTACGTGTACTCTTTTTACTTGCTGGTATATCTGAAAATTTATCTTGGTACCTTGGTTACCCCTTCTCACTTTGCATTGTCGTGTTGGTATCCTTTAAGACATTAAAGACGCTTGTGTAACTCGCCCACTTGTACAAATTGTTTGATCACTTGGTACTCTTGTTGGGACCTTGTCCTTCTTGTGGCAATGACTTTGTCACTATTGGCATGCCTCTTGATTCGGATCATTTGCCATCTTGACTCTGGATTTTTTAGTTCATCTTAAGAATGGAAGTTGTCCATCTTAAGTACGAACTAGAAAGCCATTTTTAATATGGTTCTTGGTTCTCTTGATTATTGGGCTTGACCCTTCTTGATATAGGGTGTCGGCCCTTCTTGATACCTATTTATGTTTGGTGTGACGATATGATGTATATATTGGGCGAGCCTTCTTATTAAATCTCTTGAAAAATAGTGCTATGAGCGTTCTTGACATTTGGATCTTTAAATATCAAACTTGATACTCTTTATATATTGTTTACTTGATTTGTTTGTTATGTTTCAATTGTGCTGCCTATGACTTGAGAAAGGTAGCTTGGTGAATCTGAGGGCTCTGAACCTATAGTTTTTACACCACTAAGCTATATGCTTAGCGATAGTTATTTCTATCGTAGGAAATGATCGAGAGGAGGCATGAAGCTGGTTATTGGAGATGGAGATTTTGAGAGCCTTAAGGAAGATCACATTTGCATATAAGCATCTATATTTTGTATAAAACCTTGGGACTTATACATGATCTATGTGTTATATATTTACATGAAATTTTGAGGGCTAATTTGATCATGTTACCATGGGTTGTAATATAAGTATGACTATATGTTTTGTTCTTTTGGGTGTGTAAGCCCAAGTATTGTAATATATTAAATTTACCACTTGTTTTGAATGGTTGTGTGAAGCATGAACCACCTAATTTGGGTACTCGAAAGTTGGTAATATTCTTTTTATATCATTTTTGCAGTGTGAGGATAATATATGCATAAAAATCTCGTGAGTTATTGGCTTATATTATTTTGGAAGGGTTTTTCCACCATAAGTTAAATTATGCGCAATATCAATTTGACATCAAATAAATGTTTAAATGGGCAGGATGCACATCCTTAACTATTTCTTCTTCTTTTTTTCTTCTCTTTATGAACCTAATCCCTCTACTAAATTATAATCAATATGACCATAGTTAACCTCTTTTAAATGTCGCAAGTATTTAATTAGATTTCTTGTTTAAGTGGTAGTATCCTTTCGAAAGGGTCACTACAATATTTCAGTCATATATATAAATATAAATGGTAATTTTTTCAAGACACAAATGGTAACATATATTCAAATATAAATACAAACACATAAGGCGACAAATATGCATACAAACACACACCGTAAGACATAAATACAAATACACAAGACAACAAATGAATACAAATACGCATGAATATAAATACAATTTGTTACGATATACAATATTGATCCAATTATATTCGTTAATACAAACTATATTCATTCATACACTTAACCTAATACAATTATATTCATTAGTACAATAGTACTCGTTGATACAACTTGTATTTGTTGATAGAAATTGTATTTGTTAAGCAAATTCATTTATACACTTAATTTATATCAATGAATACAATAATTTTTTATACAATTGTATTCAATGATACAAATCAATTGTATTCGCGATACAATTGTAGATCATATATATATATATATATATATATATGTCGCCTCTTTCAATCTCACTCCCCTCTCTCTAACCTCTTTCTAATTTAATAAATTGATCAATACTTGAGGCGACAATTCAGAGTGTTGGCAACTTGGCATGGTAGAGGGCTAGGAGGTCCTAGACCTAAGGGGTGTAAATGGTGACCAATAAATCACAAGAGTTCCAAAGAGTGATAATCCGAATTATATTGAAACTAAGAGATTGTACCAACTATCTTGAGTCTTGACAATCACAAGATTGTCAAGATATATACACACATATTTATATCGATTTTTTTCAAAGTTAACGGATGCACATGCAGTTCCTTCATCCTTTACGTGGATCCTTCTCTAATTAAGAAGAAGTAAAAAAGAAATACACTTAAAAAAATAAATCATTATATATCTATATGACAATTAACTAGAGCTGTCAAAAAGGGTCGGCCCAGCCCCACTAGGACCAAGCCTCGCGGGCCAAGGAATTTGAAGGACTAGGGCGGGGAGGCCCTTCATTTGGAAGGGCCTGAAAATGCTCAACCCAACCCAACCCAACCCTAGAAGGGCCGAGGGCTGGGGCGGGATAACCCTTCTTTTTTCTTTTTTCATTTTTTTTTCTTTTCAAACTTCTTTTTTTATGACAAGGAAAACCAGCAGCCACTATCCTTTGAGTGCGCACATGATAAAACCCCCGCTCCTATGCAATAGCTCAAACTTATAATTCTATAACATCAAGAAAATGAGAAGATTTTTTTTTTTGAGAAAGAAAAATGAGAAGATTTTCAAATCAAATATGACAAAGAATGGTGTTGTTTCAATAACACTAGCAAAAAATCTAGTGTAATTAACATGTATCTCGCATACTAGATACGTGAGCGAGATAAGAGAGTGACAAGCAAGATGGGAGGGAAACGAGGGTGCGAGATTTGTCTATATATGTATCATAGATACATGTGAATCTACTTGGATAGAGTGTACCTAGAACAAATTAACCTAATTTTGAGTCCATATATTTCGAGATACATGTATCTGGACGTACCAAAATCTGATAAGATTCATAATATTACAGCATAGCGTGTATTTAAGTAATTAAATTATATACTAGTGAGATTATTGTAGGTTATCCTTAAAAAGTTTTGGCCCATGGGCTGACCCCGGCCTGACCCCGATCAAGCCTCAAGAGCCAAGAGCTTATATGGGCCGGGCTTATAAGCCCTAGTTTTAAATGAGCTTGAAAATTCTATCCCAACCCTATCCCAATAACGGGTTGGGTCGAGCTGGCCCATGGGCTAAGCCCATTTTGACGGCTCTGCAATTAACTGTTGAAAAATATTTGATTTAAAAATTAATTTGTCAATTTTCTATTGAACCTCACACCATCACACACCATATCCTCTTTGTTATGTCATCATTTAAAGGGAAAAGCTATCAAAATGCCAAATTTAAAGAGTAATAATTAGGATAGAAATAAATTTAGGTATGCACCGAATAAACCATAGAGTTTAGGAAGTCTTAAACTATCATGCCTTAAAAAAATAAATTAGACAAGCTTCATAAATATATATAGCTGAAGTTTTATGTTTTCCTCCTTGGTTGGTGAAGTTAAAGAGAAGACATGTCCTAGATTGAGAAAAAAAACTCAAAAATGTCCCTTTAAGTTTGGGCTCTAAATCAAAGTCCATTTTTTTTCTAAATCATATGAAGCACAAACGGCCCTTTAAGTAGGCAAAAAATAGGTAGAAACCTACATTCATAAGCAATCTCCTAAATAGGATTGGCTACAAATATAGCTAAGGAACCTACATATGTAATTTACACTTCAATTATCATAAAATTGAACAAGTAAATACACATGTTCTACGTAGCAAATCTCACGCGATTTGACATATAGAACATATGTATATGAATTATATGCATATAAAAGGACTACTTGTGCTTCATATGATAAGAATAGAGACGACTTGCTTGAGAGCGTAAACTTAAGGGACGATTTTAGGCTTTTTTCTCTCTATGATTTTATAGTGGCCCGTTTGTTTTCTTGATAATTAGTATTCTGGAATTTGAATTCAGATTTAGAAATCATTTTCTCAGTCTTTCTTGGTTGATAGATAAAAATCATAACAGCTGCAAGCAAATAAACCCTAAAGCTCCATGGATTCTTCTTCTTCTTCATCTCAGCAAAACCAATATCCTTCTTATCCTGCATCCCAACAACAATCCTACAACCCATCTCGTTTTCAAGCCTATGATCGTCAATCATATTACTCCAATTATCAAGACCCACATCAACAACAACAGCCGCAGATATATCATCATCAACAACAGCAGCTGCAGCCGCAGTATCATCATCAACAACCCCAACACCAATATTCATCGTATTACCCTCCCAATTATTCAAATTCATATCCACCACAACACCCACAAGCCCATCAACAATGGAATCATCAAGAACCCCCAATTCATCCGCCAGGGGTTTCAATTCAACCCTCTTCGGCATCACATGGGCAACCGCACTTTCAGTTACCGAATCAGCAGAATGGTTATCACTTGCCCCAAAGGACAGACGGGATTGGGCTAGGGATGAATCCTGTGGCAGCGTTGGCACAGTTGAACCAGTTAGCAAGTTCCGTGGGTGCAGCGGAAAGGCTGACGGCCACGGGTGGATTGCACGGCCAGAGTTGGTACCCCCAGGCTCAAGGGTTCGGACCCGTGATTGGAGGACCGGGTGCCTATACGGGTCCGGGTCTGGGATCTGGTGCATTTCCTGGAAATGGGGCGGGGCCATCTGGATTGCATTCTCATGTAAGTCGTCTCTGTCAAGTAATAAGTATTTCGTCTTCGTGTTTTGAGCAATCAGTTTTTTTTTCTCCTTTTTCTGAACTATGTTATAACTTATATCAGTGTTATCAAAGCCGCAAAGCTAAAGGCTTTATGTGAAAATGCAATTATAAAGAATGACTTTAGTGAATAAAAGCGCAAGAATATAGGTAGTTCAAGAAAAATAACTGTAAGCCCAAACCACAGTTATGTAGAAAACCAAATAGAAAAAGTTACAATTAGGTGAAATGATTTTATTTGGTGGCTCTGTCTTCTAGGCAGAGCTCATGAACAATGAGGTATGTGCCTTAGTGCCTGCAGTAAAGCACAGCTTAGACGAGGTGAAGTACAAAACCTATTTTGCACCTAGTTTTTGGATTAAGCGCACCTCAAGAGAGCCTTTGACAACAGTGACTTATATGTGAATTTCATTTCTCTTACTTCATGACGATTGTATCTTGATTTTAGAGTGGTTTTCAGGTTTTACAGAACTTATTATCCACCATGTGTAGAGGATTTTGCAGAATGCGTGCTTGAATTATTCTCAAGTTCTTTTCCTGCATGAATTATAGAGAAATTGTCGTTCCTTTTTGCATTGTTGAAGTTCTTATCGAATCTTTCTTAAGTGCCTTTGTATGACCGAGCAACTGAAATTTTGGACTTCTGTAAGTAGTTATCTTCGATTACTAATAGATTGAGGACAATGGCCTAGAAAGCATGACGAGTGTTGGACACCATGAGAGATGGAGTTAGGGGGGAAGGAGTAAGAAAATGTACCAGACCATCTTCCTAGGTAGGAGTCTATCTGTCAAGTGTTGATGAGCATGCCTATAGCTGTTGGAGTAATCATGTGGGTTGTTTTGGCTTTCTGATGTATTGAATTTTCTAACACAACTGTTGGTATGTCTGCAATCATGAACTTGTGACCTTTTTACTCAAAAGTCATGTGAAGTATTCTATTAGTCGGCAATTATATTACTTCAGGTCGAGCTCTAGTTGTTGAAAAGAATAGGGTGCTAAAAGAATTCATTAGAGGGGATTATGATAGAAGAAGCTACTTGTAGACCATGCCCATTTGCTTTTAGAGATTAGCTTAACCTAAAATCCATTTTACTAAAGTTTCAAGTAGACCAGTCATCCGCCCTTGTACTTACTGCATTTGCAATGCTATTGGTTGTGTTATTGGAAATTCTTCCTTCTACAAGATTGGGCGTCGTCTTTGGTTCGTGATAGAATATCATGTGATTCATGAGTCTGAGAACGGAAAAAACATTCCCTATTTATATAGATGTGGCAACACCTAATCATTTGTTGAGATGTGACAATGTCTCAACATCTTCTATAATGGTTGGCTGTGCTTGTGGAGGTGAAAGTGCCGTGGAAACTTTATACTTTGAAAATACACTTAGTGAACAATGCTCTAAATTCAGCTGTTTTGAGATTATTATGCCCGTCAAAATGGTGAAATTTAAGTGTCGGTGAGGTAGAAGAAGATAAAAACTGGTAGTTGTTATTCGAGTAGCCTATTCTTGCTGTTGCTTGGAACGGTTAAAGGTTAGTTCAGATTCAACCTTGAGCAAGGAGAAGAAGGGCCAAGAATGTGGAGAGAGTTTCTTCATGGAAGTAAAAAAATGTTTGGCAGGCTTAGCTCAGACAGAAATGAAATAGATCCATGTGATACACATTTAAATCCTACTTATTGCCATCATACTGTTCTGCTAAAACTTAATATTATGAGATAAATGTTTTCCATTTACCAGAACCCATCCATATAGGCATATACATTGAGCTGCTACCTATTCTACCAAATGGTCGATCTTTTTTTCATTTTGAGTCTGCTTTATTCTTCTTATCATGATCATAATGCTAACAATTAATTTTGTCTTATCTTGTCAAAACTTTGATTAAATGTGCAATGATGGAGTAACTATTTAGCAATGTAGACAAGGCCAGGGGTGAGGCTGTAAAGTTTTCTGGTTTGTGTGATATGATATATAATCACACGGCCATTAGATATTTTGCAGATCTAGCCACATTCCCATTTCCTCCACCACTTTTAATAATCCATTTTGTTGGAACTGGCTGTTGAAGTCTTGAATGTTCACATGAAGCTACTTCTGCAGGTTGGTCAATCATTAGATAAGGGTGGTGGTAGAAGGATGGGTGGTGATAGAAGGAGGGGTGATGGTCAGAGCAAAGGTGGTGATAGAAGGAGGGGTGATGGTCAGAGCAAAGGTGGTGATAGAAGGAGGGGTGATGGTCAGAGCAAAGGTGGTGATAGAAGGAGGGGTGATGGTCAGAGCAAAGGTGGTGATAGAAGGAGGGGTGATGGTCAGAGCAAAGGTGGTGATAGAAGGAGGGGTGATGGTCAGAGCAAAGGTGGTGATAGAAGGAGGGGTGATGGTCAGAGCAAAGGTGGTGATAGAAGGAGGGGTGATGGTCAGAGTAAAGGTGGTGATAGGAGGGGGGATAAAGTTAGTAATTCTGCTGGAGTTGGTAGGTGTGACCTGTGCAATGTTGATTGCGGTTGTTTGGGCATCCTTAAGATGCACTTGAATGGAAAGCGGCACAAAAGGAACTTGGAAAAATTGGAAGCAAATGAAAACAGAACTGTTAGTGATGTCGAGAATGTGCAGAAACCTTCTGGTGATTTAGAACCAGGAACGGCCATGAAGCTTGATAACTTGCTTGTGGAAGAAGAGACTAAGCAGAATGTACCACAAAATATTCCTTTAACAGCCATGAAGCCTGATAACTTGCTTGTGGAAGAAGAGACTAAGCAGAAGTCGCCACAAAATATTCCTTTAACAGCCATGAAGCCTGATGACTTGCTTGTTGAAGTAGAGACCAAGCAGAATCCACCACAAAATATTCCTTTAACAGACATGAAGCCTGATAACTTGCTTGTGGAAGAAGAGACTCAGCAGAATCCACCACAAAATATTCCTTTAACAGCCACGAAGCCTGATGACTTGCTTGCTGAAGAAGAGACAAAGCAGAATCCACCACAAAATATTCCTTTAACAGACATGAAGCCTGATAACTTGCTTGTGGAAGAAGAGACTCAGCAGAATCCACCACAAAATATTCCTTTAACAGACATGAAGCCTGATAACTTGCTTGTGGAAGAAGAGACTCAGCAGAATCCACCACAAAATATTCCTTTAACAGACATGAAGCCTGATAACTTGCTTGTGGAAGAAGAGACTCAGCAGAATCCACCACAAAATATTCCTTTAGATACTTCATCTTCTGAAAATAAATTAGTAACTGAACAGAAAATCAATAATGCACAACAAGCTGATCCACCTAAAGATGCAAATCGAGATTCACCGGAAAAGAAACCTATGATGAATCAATCTGGAAATCAGAGGTCCAGTGTGAAACGTAAGACGTTAGTTGGTGGAAGGAAGAAAAATAAAGCTTCTAAAGCAAGGAGGCTGGCGATTGAACCTTCCAATTCTAATGTTGCAATTCCTTTGATGTGTGACCTGTGTAATGTGCAATGTGATACACGGGAGATTCTGAGACAACATCTTTTGGGTAGACAGCACAAGTCAGCGCTCAAGTGTGTTGAAGGTCACCACCCTATATATGGACAAGCAGGACTTCAAGCAATTTATCCGCCTAATCCCGTCACAAATTCCCTACACCATTCACAGGGTGCTCAACAAGTTTTGAATGGTGCTCAAGCTTCAGATCCCATTGCTGGTGCTTCTCTTCTTCCTCAAAATGAAAATGCTGTGCCTTCTGCGACAGGTGTGGTTTCTGATTCTTAGCAAAAAATTCCAACCTTAAAGTAAGAAATTTCCTGAATATTGACCACTAGAATGCATTGCAGGAGTCAGTTTGAATTGATATGGAAGAAAGGTAACAACTATACCTGCAGTGCGTAGAGAAATGACGCCCAATCTGTGAATAATCTGGGTGACTACTACATCTGATCATGTAAATGCAGGTTTTCAGCAGGTGACGACAGTCCATTTGCAGTTGATGTTGTTGGCGTCCTACCTCTGATCAGATGGTGATAATTACATATATGGCTCAGTGTTAGGCGCGAGCTTTGGCTTGTTTTCTTCTCCCCCTTTCACACACGGGGATAGTTCAGAAAGTTACAATTGTTAAGCCAGCTGGTAATTTTACTCAAACAAGTTCTGAAGTAATTTTCCCAGTCTCAAGTCTGAGAACGTAGTAGTTACTGTTACTGTTATTGTCTGCCTCCTTGGTAGTGAAAGTGCTTAGAGAAGAATTAAGGTGTAGTTTGATGTTTAGATTTCATTTAGCTGTTATAAACAAAAAAAAAATAGTTTCATATTTTTGTCTACCAAGAAGAAGGAATGTATTTGTTAACCAATTTAATCAAAACAAAATAAGAAGGCAAACACCGGTAGTTTTTCTTGTGAAGTTATGACTGTAATTGACATATGCCATTTAAATATAGTTTTTTCATTTAGATATTCAGACTTGAAATTTACATGTCATTAATGATAATTATTACACAATTTTTTTAGTATGACTGATACGTAAAGGTAATTTGACAAAGAGTGTACCACCATATGGAATGCAATTACTTTATTACAGGTAGAATGCTATTATAGAGAAAAGGTAGAATGTTATTATAGAAAAAGTAAAGTAAAACATAAGAAATTGTTTTTGGAAAGATTAAGTCATTATAGTGAAATGGTATTACAAGTTGTAACAAGATTTGACTATACAAGGCTTCTCATTAGTATTTTCTTGTTTTGATAAATATATTACTGAGAAAAATAAGAGAACTCTGATAATTTTGATGATAAGGTAATATTTCACTTTAAGCTATTGATTTTCCCTAAGATATGGCATCTTAAGTAAAGAAATAAAATAAAATGTTCTTTTCTTGAAAAAATATGTTTGATTTCGAACATCCAGGAAATTTTAAAAAGCGCAAGGGAAATATCAAGAAAGAAGTTTATGTAAGTCATTTAATTCTCAGTTCAAGCACAATCAAGTTCTAAAAAATATTTTCAGTATCATTTGTTCAGATAAGCAGTAATTATCACTTTAGATAATGAAAATAGAAGAAAAAACACAAATTGCTTTATTTTTCTATATGTTTAAGTTTTCGTAGACACAATTATTCAATATATTATGTGTTGGTATTTGGTAAAACTAGTTAAGGTGTACGTAAGCTGATCCGAACATTATGATTACATATATACTAATACTTTATTAGGTATAAATTGATCGAATTATGTTATTCTCCATGTCTCAGAATACTTTTCGTGTTTTAAATTTTTACATGTGGAGGAGTGCTTGATTATTTTAAGTTTCTTTATGTCGTAAAATATAATTTCTCTTTATTGAATATTTACTCTATTTATATGTTATGATAAAGGTGTTTGTAGTCTTCAAGAACAATTACTACGAATAAAATATTTTTTATAATGTAATTTTGTCTTGAATTTTTAAAATGAGAAGTAGGCGTTTAAAAAATCAAATATTATTCATTTTATTAAAATTTTTAATATTGAAGTTATGTTTAATTATTACTTTTTACAAAGATTATTTAGAATTTGAACTTCCTTTCTTAAATATGATTTATCCATCAACATTTAAAAACTATCGATATCACTTAACTTGCTAATTTACCGAATTTGAAATCCTTATTAGAGTATTTTCTTCCTCTCTCCAAACCACATTTGTTAATTCTAATTCTTATTATTTTATGCAATATATTGATTTTCCACTCGGTGTTCAGATGTCTGATTAGATTCGATGAAATCCTACATTAGAAGGTAAACCACATTCTAACAAAAGCGACTCCACACTTTTCTCAAACTTAAAATCTTTAATTAAAAATAAAAAAATACTCATCACTCCACCATAAACCTTCTCGAACTCGAGACCTCTAGTCGCAACATATAACATTCACATTCGTTAACTTTAATGGTAGTATTATTTTATTTTGTAAATATGATCATCTCATTTTTTCTGAGCAAAACCCTATTCCCCTTTTGTTGGGTTTTCCACCAAAGAAATACGTCATTATACCTCACGCACACCCTCTATATAAATTAAATCTCAATTTTTTTTCATAATCTTTGATTAAAAAAGATTAGATTTTGGCAATAGAGGAGACACGGAGCGTAGAGGAATCCATGGCTACGGACCACTCTGATGATTTAGACCAACTTCTTGACAGTAAGTAGCCACACCCTTTACCCTTTTCGACCAATTTCTTTCTATTAACCTGTTTCTTGCATATAGAGTCGGTTGCTTTGGAGTGAACACAGTGTTTGATATTAATGTTTTTTCAAAAAATAAAACACCGAAAGCAGCAGTTATAGGATAAGTGTTTGAATTTGAGGAGAAGATGTAGGTCAATTTGAATTGAATTTTGATTGGAAATTCATTATTTTTAGGTGCTTTGGATGATTTTCAGAGCCTCAATCTCACTTCTGCTTCTCAAAGGTTTTTTCTGCTTTCTCTTATGGCATGTAAATCTTTACTTATGTTTTAGCTAATGGGGTTTGAATTTTGAGCTGTGATTGAAAAGGGTTGATTTTGATTGTAGAAATGGGGATGGAGAGGGAAAGAAAGAGAGTTCTTGTATGCCTAGTGAGGTTCAAGGGCTTGGGATGTCGTTGCCTGATTTGAAAGCTAAGAAGAAGGGGAAGCAAAAGGCTGCGAAGGAGACAAAGGACTCGCATGTCTCGGAAGCTCTTGATAAGCTTAGAGAGCAGACTAGAGAAGCTGTTAAAGGATTGGAATCAGTGGCAGGGCCGAGACCCGGTGTGGAGACCTTTGGAAGTGATCCAATGATGGAGGATTGGGTCAAACAGTTTGAGGAGCTGGCTGGTTCTCAGGTATATTTCTTAAGCTCTTTGAATGTTTACGCTTGTTGCTTTTTTCTCTAATGAACAGTGCCCCACTTTGTGGGATTATACTGGGTATGCTGTTGTATTGAACAGTGAATATTGAAACTGCAAAATTTACATCTCTTATGAAGCTTCATAGTTGTGTGTGAAGTCCCTTTCAGAAAATTTACGTAATGATGAGACATTTGGTTCTCCTACATACTGGATGTTTGGGAAAGGGAAGGGGGTGATGAGAAAAGAGTATGTTAATATATTGATATAGTTAATAGAAATTTTTTTGCTTAATTATAAACATAATTAATATTTTCAGCTGACTAAATGATTGCTTCTATGCATGGGAAACTTTTGGTAATGAATTGATATAAGATCTCAAGGCTTTCCATGATTTAAACATTCTGCAGATTGTGGAAGTTGTTGTAGTCTTGTGTTCAGTTGGCCTGTTTAGTATGCTTGGACCGACATATAAATTGTATAAATCAGTGTGACTCGCATATGTTGAACCGTCCTTATCAAAAATAAAATAAAATTTGCATATGTAGACCAGTGGACTAAGGAAGCTGAATGAAACTTCTTGTTCCAAAGACTGAATTTCATCAAACTGTTTGGTCTTGACCAAATCCTCCAAAGTAGAGAACTGCCACCCTTCTAAAGACCCATTGGAGGAATCTAGCCAGAAGTTGCCCCTTTTCAAGCCTGTTACATTCTTAGGTCCTATTCCCTCTACTTTGGAATTTCTCATTTCACCATTGATCTATATGGTACTTTACTTTTAATCTCTAGCTGTTTTGACTTCATTATTTTTTTTCCTGATAAGGAATATGTTGTGATTATTAACATTCAGTTTTGAGTAGATGCTCTGTTTCATCTTCTTGATTCTTTCTATTTAATAATGCAAAAGAAGTACAGTTTTGGGTCAGATAAGAACAATGTTGGACCGTTAAGAGCAAAGTGCTGAGATAGCTTTGTCATTGGCTGGAGTGGGGGACAATATTGGAATGTTAATTACATTAGTCCTTAAAAATAGAGGTGAACAATATTGAACATGATGAAACATTTGAATGCGTTGAATGAGAAATGTAGTAGTGAATAGCTCCTAAAATTTTCAATTCCTTTGTTTTCTGTTCATTTTCTGCAATCATCCAGAATATCCATGTAGGGACTAAGCATACACTCTAGTGCATATATTATTCTTATATGTTGCTTCTTCTCACTTGTTTGGAATGGATTTGTAACTATTTTGATTGACTAATTGCTAGGACATGGAGTCTATTGTAGAGACCATGATGCAGCAGCTTCTTTCAAAGGAAATTCTTCATGAACCTATGAGAGAAATTGGAGAAAGATATCCAAAATGGTTGCAAGACAATAAAGCCAAGTTAAGCAGTGAAGAATATGAACGTTACAGGCACCAGTATGAACATATCAGAGATCTAAACGAAGTCTATGAAACTGAGCCAAGCAACTTTAACAAAATTGTTGAGCTTATGCAGAAAATGCAAGAATGTGGCCAACCACCAAACGATATAGTGCAGGAACTTGCTCCGGACTTTGATATATCAACTCTTGGACAACTGTAAGTGCTCCAGCATCTTCAGAATTTCATTCAAATTAAGTTGTCTGGGTGTTGATTTATTGGTAGTAGTTAAATGCTGGAATCATGCCCGTTTTCCTCGTTTTACCTGGAGATTGTAGGCATTTAAGCTTTTGGCCTATACATATTTGCCTAAAGATGATGGACTCGAAGCATGCAAATATCTTTTGTAATCTATATTTAAATCTAAGCGCAGATCATGTGTCAACTGTATTACCTTATGATAGGATCCTATCAAAGCCTGAAAGTTCCACCTCTTGGCTCAAACTTTTTGACTAAACGAACCACTCCTACAAAACTCAAATGCAGTCTGATCAAGATATCCTTTTTTCTTGTGATACTGGTAATACCGCTTTATGTGAGCCAACTCTTAGATTAAACCACCATAAGATTTCTGTTAATTTTGATGCTGAAGGGTGGAGATATTAAGTCTTAGTCCCTTTGTCTCAATTTATGTGGCACACTTTTTTTTTAGTCGGTCCCAAAAAAAATGTCACCTTTTTATAATTAGAAACAACTCAACTTTAATATTCCCCAATTACCCTTAGTAAAATAAGTGTTAGCCACACAAATGTCTAAGGTTTGTTTTATACCACAAATTTCGGAAGTCTTTTTTTCTTGAACTTTGTGCTTAAGTCAAAGGGTGCCACATAAATTACGATAGAAGGAGTACTATTTACAGGGAAAACCTATTGAGGCAAGTTAATGAAACAATACAGACGAGGAAAACCGTATTTTGGTGGTTGGACAACGGTTGCAATT